TGCATCCTTTGTTATACAAAACGCATATCTCATCTCTTAAGCATGATTTATAATATCTGAACATGTAATTTGAGGATACACAGTACCATAACCATATTTATGGAGAACAACAACCCAATCACCCATCATATTCCATCCTTTTCCACGCAAATAATCACAACACAAATGTTAAACTCATCCAACATTTCACTAAATCAATATTGCATTTCCTTAAAAGATGCTAAAACATGTTAAAGGCTTTGCAAAGTCATATGTATGGATCCCTCATTCTATCCTAGAAAAGCTTCAACAAATCATTGAAAAGTGAGAAAGAAAGAACCAGAGAGGAACATTGAACAGCTTAGAATGAAGTTAATCACTGCCTCTCCCTTTCACTAATCCCAATGTCTAAAATCGTCCAACCATTTCCAAAATGAAACAAACTGCTTCCAACATATCCTACATTACTCTTAGAACAAATGAGCTGTACAAAAATCTAACACCAACCCTAAAAAAAAAAAAGAGAGAGAGAGACAATGATGTAGCTGAACCGTAATAAAATTCCAAATGTTAACTCCTTATTCAATCTTATATTTCAATTTTCAATAACTACATGTTTATAGCAATCATCAAAATAAAAAAAATATATAGTCCTATGTCATCAGAAACCAAAAAAAATCAAATTATGGAGCATTCAATATATCAATTGTAATCCTGGAAACGTAATTGAAATTACCTTAGCTTTAAAATAAAATAAGATAAGAAAGCAATTGAAATTTAAAAAAGGAAAAAAAGGAGAAAAAAATACGGTGCTGCCACGTGTTCCCGGCCAGATCCTCGGCCTTCCTCGTTGCCTCTCCCACCTTCCTCCCCCATCTGCCTAACACATCCTTCATTATGTCCATTTTCTCTGTTTCCAATTTTAAAATAAATAAATAAATAAAATTTCAAATAATGGATAATATTTGAAATAAACGTGTAATTGGTTACCTTTGATGGATGTCGAAGAAGATGCCGGAGCAGGATCGTGAGCAACGTAAGGATTGGATCCGTTAGGAGCGGACACGGAGGCGCTGTTATCCGCGGCAGGCGATTCGCTAACCAATTCGGGGCTCCAATGAACCGATTTCCTCGACCCCGATGATGTGCGGTTCGGTGATAGCTCGCTTTGAATCTGACTCTCTTTCTCTTCCTTTTTCTCGGGCTCTGTTGTTGGCACAATTACAAAGCCCTCCGCATCCATTGTGGGATCCAAGTCTTTCAGGTCCGCTTTCGGATTCGGTTCTTGGGCAGAAGATTGCGTTGAGCTGGACTTCGGCTCGGTTTCCGTCTTCGATTGTTCCATGCTTCTAGAGTATTCGAGAAAAAAAAAAAAGGCCGCGCGTGCAGTGGCGCGTTAAGGATTTTTCGCTGCAAGTTTAGCAGGAGGCTGTTATTTGTATCTGATCTTTGTGGCTTGTGGCTTTTTCTTTTCTTTCCCGTTTTATTTCGATTTGTTTGATTCAATCGTATTTGAAAATTTAAATGTTTTTGTAGAAATTTTATTTTTCACTTTTATTTAAAAAGGAAAAATTGGGAATTTTGGGAGACGGGTTCACCGGGAAGGACGGGGCGATGATAGCCGTCTATTGTGATGACTTTTTTTAGCGCCAATGAGATACGAATTGACAATTTTGACTGCTGGGCTCTTATTACTCCTCAACCTTTCCTTTTCCTCTATGATTATGAATGCATTAAGTACATTGATTTATTTTGGCCCCATGGATTAATGTAGTTGCTTTTTCATTATAATAATGCATGCTAATATTGACCCAAGAAAAACATTTAAAAAAATGTGTAAATTAATAATTATCCGAGGGAAAATGACCTATGTAATTAGGAAAACATAGAGAGAGAAAGACATCAGATATAAATATTACAACTGCAACTATTTGAACACATGTTTACATTACAAAACTATTTAAACGGCATAGGTTTCAACTAAGTAAATTCACTTAAGTATCCATTTCTTCACATTTGGACAAATTTTCAAAGCCTTTTTCATGTCTTAACCCTCCAAATGACATGTATCCAAATTCTACTTTAACTAATATGTTTTGAATTTTGAAACTCAAATAATTTTTTTGGTAATTTACCAAACAAAAAGAAGCGCAAACTTGGTCAAGAAACTATAGTAAAAATGACTATCATAAGATTTTCTTCTTTTTTTTTAACAAATAATTTTGGACAATATAAAGAAGGAAGTAACCATATTAATCTCATATATAGTAACTGTGCCTTAGAAAATAACAATCAAAAGGGAGAAATCCTGGTTCCTTAGTGTCGAGCAACAAGACGGTTTCGGTATTGAAATTATAATAATTTGAGTTCAAGCGTTATTAATTTTAATATTTTTTTATTTAAATCTTGTTGCGAGTAATTTTGAATTAAAATTTTTATATCAATTTCAAAAATTATACCACAGAAAAATGGGATATCTAGAACCCAATTCATGCTTTAGAATCTGCCAAATCTTGTCAACGAAGCAAAGCATTGTCCCCAACCTGTGTTCTCATACCTGAGCAAAACCGAACGGAAAAGAATAACTTAAGCTGCCTACATGTCTCTTGGTAGCATTCTTGGCAGGGATTAGTGAAAAGTATCAAAACAACTTTGCTGCTTGACGGGGGAGGAGTGGAACAAATCCCAGTGACACAGAATATAAACAAGTTAAGCTATTCATGGGTCCGCTGCTGAGTTCAAGTTCAATTTTTTTTTTAATCCTCAATTCGAGTGACATATGTGAGGTTAATTGAGTTTTCAAATTCAATAAAATTTATCACTCATTTTTTTTTTATCCTCAATTCCTGTGACATGTGAGGTTGATTTAACTCATTTTTCAAGTTTTTATTTGTATAAATGTAACATGTCTAATTTCAACAATTTTTAATATATAATTCTTGTTATTTTTAATTTTTCCCGTTTCATTTAACCAATTATATAAAGCAAGTATTCAAAGTAATCTTCTTTTTTTTAAGATGAAACCCCAAATTTATCATTCATCTTTAAATTGATGCAAATTTATCATTGTGTTTTTTGATTTTGTTAAAAATATTCATAAATTATAATATTTTTTAAAAAATAAAAGAATAATTTACAAAATAGTTTAAACTTTTAACCATTTTGAACCAAACCAAAAAGAATAATGATAACATTGCATCCATTCAAAAATTAATGATGAATTTAATCCATCATTTTGAAAAAAGTAATAAATTCGATTCACATCTTTTTTTTTTATTTCTTGAAACGAACAAACTAATCTCTTATCCAATAATAGTGGGATTTCGATTTTTTTTCATCATGTATTATTCATGTTCAAGTCTTACACGTGTTGCAACCTTAGGCCATAATCAAGGAACCAAACCCACAATTTTGGACAGACTTAAATAAATGTTCTACATGTGACCCAACCACAAGGTTTGAGCTAATTTTGTGTGCCATAGATTGATTTTGTACTACTTAACCCAAGCTCTCCTAATTAATGTAATATAAGTATTACATTTTTCTCAATTTGAAAATTTGCAAATAAAATTATTCATAAAATAACTCACATTTAATTTTAAAAAATTAAACTTAAAATCATACAGTATTGTAAAAATTTAACAATCGATTGAACATAACAATCTCCAATGCATTGATAAAAATAATTTTTTAATAAGATATTAGTAATTTTTTATTTAAAAATAAAATTTATATTTTTTTTAAATAAAAATATCATACATCAATTAATAAATCAAATATTTACGTCCTAATAATTATTTTTTAAAATTAATTTTTTTAAAAAAACTCCGCTTTTATCAAGAAATAATATATTTACTAACTCAATAATAATTTCTTAAGAGTAAGTTGAGCATGTAATGAATTACTGAATTTGTCTAATTGATCCATCTTCTCCCGTGGAAGAGTCTTGGGAGGCTAATCACTGGCACATATTTCAAGAAACTTATACACCGATTTTTGTTGTATATGTTTATCTTGGTTTATGTACATTTTTCATCAGCTTTTATATAATAATGAAATTTTTTTTTTTTTAAATTTAACTTACAATCAATTGATAATAAGTGAGTGACACTTATTATCACTTTAATATTTCCTTTCACTTGTAAGAACAGTGGGCCTAATACATGGTAATTCGCCATAGAAGAAATAATAATAGAGACAATTTTAATATAATGTTAAATTTTTTAATATGAACACCTAACTTAAAACCAATTAATATATATTCAAATTACTTTTAATTAATAAATGTAAAATTTTTAAAAATATAAAACTTTGCATATTTATCCATAAATTGATTTATTATAATATACGTAAGCTTCATGAATAAATACAAAATCGAACACAAGTGTGGCATACTCATTAGTCTAGTATCTCGTTTATTTAAACGCAAAGCATAATATAATTTCACTTTATTAAAAAAGACCTTAAAACGTTTCTGATCTATCCAAACGAAATAACAACACAATCATTTGTGATCTTCCGACAACATGACAACCTCGAAAATCAAACAAACCAAATTAATACTAGTCATTTTGTGGGGCGGTGTCAATGCTTTTGTTTCTTTCTATATTGGGTGAATATATAATTAGGTACTCAAAAGGCATGATGAAGGGTAGACCAAATTGCTGATGCGCTGCGCATATAACACAAATCAAGTTGTAACATGCAAGCCTAAATGAAATAATTAATCCACGCCAAAACTTAATTATTTCACAAGTAAAATCCAATTTACCAAAGCACGAGGTATGCTTCTGCACCATTGCATATTAAATATTCCAAATTCTCGTAGCCTGTGATTGATTAGACTTAATTTTAATTAATTCACATATAAATATCCAAATCAAGCAATTGTTTTTTGTTTAAATAGTCAAGGTCGATCCAACCATGGCTGGATAAATCATCAAAGGGAAAAGATCAGAGATTCAGGATTCCTGGTTTATAACATAGCCGGATGAATCAACGGCATATGAGATACCAGGAAATTAATCAAAGCTCAATCCGGTATCATGGAACTTTTCTTTTGTAATCTGATCCAAAATTTCTGCCATGTCAGGTGTCAAATGATTCCTCCAATCTCCAACTCGACCTTTCCTGAAAAAGGCAGGATTGCTGATACGATAGGTCCGACTTCTTGGTTCGTCGACATTTTTATTCACATCCAGATTGCTCAAATTCTTAAAATCACACAATCTCACAATTTCTTGCACAACACCTTTGTTTTTCCTCATTTGCTGAAAAGGGGACCCCTAAGAAGTCTGCCAATTTCCTGACATTAACCAAAGGCTCCTTCTTCACATCCTCAAATTTCAAGAACAACACCTTCTTTGGTGACTCCAAACTAGCTTTCCAATACCCCAAGGCGTGATCCCAAAAGGGTCCAAACTCCGAAACCACTTTATGAAACAAGTCAAAGGCTTCTTCCAGTGAAACCGGTGGCAGTTCTTTGCGTCTCAACCTTGTCGTGAAATGCCACTTTGAAACAGGCACGTCTTAGGGTCATGGCAGATGTAAACGAAACGGTAAGCAGATGCATCTTGGGACGTCATGGACTTTGGGAACAAAGAGAAAGGAAGGTAAGTTGAAAGGAATCGAGGCAACGGAATCCCTTCAATGAAGGAAGTGGAGCTACCTTCGTGAATGTGTCCTTCAACGAAGGGCTCTTAGCCATGTTGTGCCACATTTAGGGGATGTTGACAAGATGATAGCTGTTGGTCGAGGCTTGAAGTGGTCATGAATTAACAGGTTTCCTTGGACAAAAAGACTTGGTATCCAGAAGCCTTGGTATTGAACAAGCTGGTAATCCCATCAATACTTTGTCACGTTAATCAAAAGTATTGATATAATTTATTTTAATAATGTACAATAATATGATATAATCAAAAGTATACAGTAACATGATAATTTGGGTCCATCACTAGCACTTAATTTGATTGTGATCTTTGGTGGATGTTAAAGGCAAGTTAATCGTGCATGATTTGTGCCATCTCTTGTTATAAGAAGCTTTTTTTTTTATATATTTTGTTGGATAACTAATTAAGATTTCTCTCCATTTAGACAAAAGCTTCAATCACATATCTGAATTTCCGTTCAAAAACAAAAAAAATCACAAAGGTTATGTTCACTTTCTCGATCTGAGTTGTTGATTTGGTTATTGGGGTTCTCTTTGATATAGGCTGGATCCACTATTGTTCTTTGTGATGGGTGCAAATGCTGTTGTGTTTTTGTACAGGGGCACTTGCTATACTTCATTTGTTCATAACCACAACAGGCGTATTCTTGTGCTCTGTTCTGGTTTTTGCTATCTGTTCTTTTAGGTTTTGGGAGGAGGTTGTGCTCCTCTCCGTGGTTATATTCTTGTTTTTGGGTTCTTTGTGAAGGTCTTTCGGCTGCTGCACTGTTTTGTTTGTATGCAGCTATGGTAAAGGATGAGGCTGCCCCTCTGATGATGTATAAAACTTTTGGTAAATGTGAAGACAATTCCAGCTTTTCAAAAAAGAAGTGTAGGAAATGAAAGATGGCTGCCACTAGAAAGGGAGAGATATTCTAAGGCATTCTATTGAAGGATCATCAGGATTTTCTATTTTTATGCTAGTCTTTATGATCAGCAAATTAAATATTGGTTTTACTAGTGATTAATTCTCACTTCTTCACCCCTTCGTTACTTTCTTATTAGCTTATAAAAATTTAAGCTATAGATGATCTTTGGATTAAGGTATTATAAACATATTTAAATTAGAATTAAGTAGCGTCTAGTCTTTTCTATATAATCAAAAGACTAGAGACTTGACCGACATCTCTATAAATTTCATTTATTAATGAATTTCAACATAAATACTTTTTTTTTAAAAAATAATAAATAGGAGAATATCATTTAATAGTTATTATATTTTAATTGTCTACTCAAAATAATTAGTCATATAGGACCTATATGAGATCCACACTTTTAAACATCAAAATTTCTAAATATATAACTGTGTAAATGATTTACACAAGCAACATACTTTGTTGAATGAATACAAATTTCGTTTGAATTTTTTCAAATTGTAAACAGAAATTATAAGGGAAAAGAGGATATGACGTTTCTAATTTATAATTTGGTAAATAAGGTATAAAAGGAAAAAAACGATAATTTCTCACGTTCTTTTTTCTTTTATATTTATGGCCTCGATCAATTAAAACAAAACGTTGGAATAAAGATAATTTTTTCTATATATACAATTTTAAATAAGAAATCCATTCTCTCCAAACCCCCAATTCGGAAGAGTTTAAGAAAAGCAAGGTTGAGATGGTTCTTGAGGGTTCGCTGTAGCCCCTTCAAATCCCTCGTCTTTGCATTAAAATTAATGTTTTCGAAACAAGGGAGGGGGTAGTACTCCATAGTCCTTTCCTTTTCTTTCCCTCTTTCCCCTCGATCTAAACATAGTGACCGAACAACTTAATTTGACTGTCAGAATTGTAGTATAGAAAACAACAAAGCATGCAGTAAGTCCTCAACTTACCAAGGCGAGATGGGCACTAAATTTTAATTGAAAATGCTTTTACACCTAACTCACAACAGCTAACCTTCAAACCTTGAAGTTCAGTTCCTGACACTATAATTATAAACTTTATCTTCGGCACTTTTGTCAGAGCAATACCCTATGCATGTCAGTATTTGAAGCACATTTTAGTCACATATCTCTAACATCATTATCATATATGGCCATTACAATAATTTTAAACGAACTGTTTTCACTTCAATGATAAAAAACTGAAGTGAATTCTCTCTTTCTTTTTTTTTTAAAATAAAATAAAATCTAGGATCGTTTGAAATATATTTGTTTACATCCCAAGCAAGGCAGCTACTAGCCGTGCACCCTGAAGTTGATCAATGAAACCATATGTTTAAATAAGAAGATCGGCTAAAAATGAGAGGGAGTTAAATGTAATCAAGAAAGGATAGTAAAGAAGAAAAAGAACTTTGTGGTGTAGGAAAAAATGGATTTCAAGTAGTTTAATTCACTAGAAGGAATAGGGTAAGAATAAAATAACTATTATGTAAAAATAGAATAAAAAATCAAATAGTTATTATGTAATTTTATTTATGAGAATGAAATAAAAAATTTATTATTATGAATTATTTTAATATCTGGTTGGTAAAAATAAGTTTAGAAATAAGTGGGAATAACAAAATTATTTATTTAATATTTAATTTTTAAATTAAATATTTATTTATTTTAATAATTATTTAAAAATATTAATAAATTGTTAATTAAATGTTAGTATGATCATTTATTTTAATTTACAAAATATTAATAATTTATATTCCATTTAAAATATTAATAATTCATTATTAAAACATTAATTTTATTATTTTATTCTTTATTTTAAAAATATGAATAATTTATAATTAAAATTTAAACTTTTTTTATTTTAAATTCATTTTTTAATTTTAAATTCAATTTAATTTAGTGAGAGAAGGAAAGAGGTAGTTGGGTAGAGAGAGAAAGAATTGTAAAAAATAAATAAATTGTATTTTATATAATATGATAATATTTTAAATTAATAAAAAGCATTTTTATCCATTACTTTTTTACTCTATTCCTTCCCTCTTCCCTCTTGGAATAACCAATACCAAGAGGCCATCCTAATAAATGTAACATAAAGTATTGTGTTGTTCTTAATTTAAAAAAAATTATAAATAATTTATGAAATAAAAACACAATTAATATTTGAAAATTAAAATTAAAATCATAGAGTATTATAATAAAACATTAACAACCCATGCATCAAATAAACATTTTATATATGTACAAGTTTTCTCTCTTTTTAAAAAAAAATTCCATGCATCAAATAATCATACGTAAAAGTTTTCTTGCTTTGGGTCATCTTTCCCTGGCTTACCTTGCAAATTGCAATCTCCGGTTCTGTTTTTTGTTGTGGTCTACCTTGGAAATCCCATGATAAAAGAATGTTTAAAGGGATTGATGACAGTCCTTAATCATTAATATGACTTCCTAGATGGTTTCTTAAACACATGCACGATTAATCAATGAACATAACGTTCCAAAGCAGCGTATTCTTGCTTTCCTAAACATAATTGCTGAGTGATGACTAAGACCACTATGTTCATAAACCAAAAACATTTTGCAAATGCTGTAACCGGCTAGCTGCACTTTGAGAATCACCAACTTTAAGAAGAAAACTGGTTTAAGACAAATAGCTGGAACAGAAGGGTTTAACTCTTTTTCATTACTTTTCGAATCAATAATAATTAAGACTATGATGATCTATTTCTACAACGAATTAGCTTAAAAAATAAGGCTTGCAAAAAAATAAAGAAAAAGAAGCAGAGACAACCTGCACTGCTTAAATCTAATATTCCTATATATACCCTTTTTTTGCTTATCAAATATGGACTGAGACAGAAGATCAACCTATAATGCAGCCTTTGGTCCTAAGTCAATCCATGGGTCTTGTGAAAACATCTCCTGAATTTTCTCAATGAACTTGAGCATAGTCTCTTGGCCTTTCTCATCTGCCACAATTGAACAAGGTGAAATGAGAATTTAAAGTACTGAGCTTGTGACCTTCATCCTTGAGAATTGAAACAGATTGCAATGGTAAAATTTTCCAGTTGTAATACTAACCAAGTTTTGGTATAGTGTGCCCCATCGAGTGATGAATAACAAAGGGCTTCACAAATGATTTTAGTAGAGTAAATCCCACTTCCTTCAGGAAATCCTTTTCTCCTAATTAACAAATTGACATTATCAGACATTCATAGAAGATTTCCAGGTCCTAACGCTAGCTCCTTATCTTTTTTTTGGATCAAAAGTCTGATATAAAGAAACTAAAAATGCGACTTATAAACAAACAGTCATCAGGAATGCAGAAAGAAATTTTGCATCTAATAAGAGTTTACTTTTATTTTGTAAGAGTAAAAACTGCAAATATTAGGATAGAACCATAAAAGTGTCAGGCTCTGAGCATATTATTCAATTCTATTACAAATTTTTGCAGCTAAAATGTGATTGAGTGGATTTTACATTAAGAACCATGTAGTTAATTTGTTCACTTTTCCGGAAGATTATAATGAGATTGAATAAAATTTGTGCAACTTTCCTGTGGAAATTAAGATAAAGAGTATAAAAATGTAAGCCAGGGTAAACCATAAGCTTCTTTGTCATCCTAAAGTTGAAAAGGTTTCTGGAGTAAAACAACAAAGATTGCATTTTGAGGAATGCATGGACTCGTTTTACTTAGACAGAATTCAGTTTAGGCTGCTTGCGGTCTTTGCCTATCGCTTAACCACAAAAATCTCTTACATTCTATGCTCTAAACCTAAGAACTTCGACTGAAGGACTAAAATTCCAAAGCTTATGCCAAGGTTTGTTGTATTAAGATGCTTTAAGACTTCATTTACTATATATCTTTAAAGATTAATAAAGATTTACAATCTGTTTGCCTAAAAAAGAAACTGCTAAAACTTGGAGATGTTGCTAGGACTCATGCTTGATCAGCACATAGTTGGGGTAGCAACTATACTTTTTTGTGGTATTATAACTAGCATTGGAAGGTCCTCTGCTTCTAAGTTAGTACCAACAAAAACATATTATAGCTTTTTTGCTTTGGATTAGCAAGCAAAATTTCGTGGACTAATAAAAAAAGATGATTCTTCTTGCCCCTCTCCATTATCTAAGCTCTAGTTCAAATTCAAGCAGCCTTGTGTGATGTCTTCTTACATTCTCCAAAACAATCAAGATTCTGTTGTTTGGCTTCCTTCTAGTTCAGTCAAAATAATAGCTTCTGATACAGGGTAAGTTTTAGTGCATAAAATCCTAAAAGAGATTTGTATAGTCTCGCATGGGTTTCAAAATTCTGTTCCCAAGCAATCTTATGTTGCTTATATAGCCTTTCTGAAAAGGCTCACTACAATTCACAAGAAAAAAAAGAAGGGGGTTATCTTTAGGGAACCACACAACTTGTGGAGATTGGCAAACTAAATTCTGTTGTGTTAAATCAGCTTTGAAAGGAAATAGTTGCATAAGCTATTCCCATATTGGCCTGGAATGTTTACATTTATCGAACTAGTAATTGACAAAATATCAAGATGGTGATCCTGTCTCCTAATGAGTTGTAATAGACAATGAAGCAAGTATTAGTCCTCAGCTTACCGATCAAGTGGAGAGAAGGGCACTCAACTGGAGCTGGAAATGCATTAACAAGCAACTTAGGCGGCCCATGCTTCAATTCTCGAAGTTTAAACCCAGATATAATGATCAGAAACTTTATCTTTGGCACTTTTGTGAAAGCAACACCCTGTGATCAGACGTCAACGACTCCAGTCATTTACAAATATAATTATCCTGATTCTCACCGTAATTTCAAAAAACTTTTCTTGCTTCTCTGACAGACCTTTCTTTGCATCCAAGGCAATACAGCTGCTAGCATTCCGCCCTGAAATCCAAGAACTTGGCCAACTATTAATTTTAAGAAAGAGGAGCTTTGTACAAGATTTTAAGTTTCAATTAATTTTACCTGGGAAAAGCCCAGTAGGCCATCAAAGGGACCATGCTTAACCATATAATCCTCTATATACGCAATACACTCCTCAAAATTTAAACACTCCACCTGAAGAAAGGAAAAAGAAATAAAATTCCAATTCTCCAACCTATTTTATCATCAAAAAGGCTTAAAAAATATAAAAAATTACTGCTGTTGTATGCTAGAGCGTAAAGAAAATTTGCAATGATGATTAGGTATTAAGCTGAATGATCAAACCTCATTGACTTGAAACCATTCATAATAGGGAGGGTCATAAAGGCCTTCAACGTCAGATTTCCCTTTGGCGGGGAATGGGGCGTCAGGAAAATCAAAATCAAAGTTTTCGAGCAAGGCAGCTGGCCATTTTCCGATCATTTTCTTCAAGATTTCACCGCTTGTTCTGAATCCATGGAGGCATAGAATTCTGGGTTTCCTCCTCCCCATTTGACTTCCCAGCATCTCCTCTTCGTTCCTACTATTGGTGAGGTAAAGTTAATATTTATGATCAGAAATAATTGATGCCTTGTGGGGCTTCATTCACAGAATTCCCTTCCATGAGCATCAAAGTAGTTGGGTTGGCCAAGAATTTTGTTTTGGCACGTAATTGAATATAAAATTTCGGTGTCCGGAGTCGGCGGCCACTGGGCCTTTTCAGCACCTGCATATTCTTGGATCTTATTTTTCCTTTCAAGCCCGCTGCTGATCTCTGGAAGACTTGGAACTCTTTCTAGGAAAACAATAGAAAACAAAGAAGAGATTATAGAAGCTTTTTTGAGCAATTCACGTTCATTTATATCCTGATTTATGGATTCAATTACCAACATTGTAGCTGAGATATTGAAGTGCAAGTAAGACAGGTCATTGACCAGTTCAGCTAAATTCTACTGGCTGCAGAGATTTAGCAATGACGACCAGACCAAAAATATGCGAGGGTAGACTGGCAGTCGATGCCTTGATCTGATATGCGCATTGACAGTTCAGTAGATACTACTGCTACTAGTACTACTTCCTTTTATGTGCTTTTTGTAGTGAGGTTTGAGTCAGGGTTTAGTTTGTAGTTGGGTTAAATGTTCATGTCCATGCATGTAGTTGAATTTGTGAAAAATCATATTTTCATACTTCTAGCTTTTTATATTTCTGCACAATCAAATTAAATAGTTGATTTAAGCCACCGATGGTGTTGATATGGATCTGAGGTTAAACTTTTTGTCATTAAAAGTAATTGAAAATCCTTGTATTGGCTGCATCAAAATATTTCTTTGCTTTGACTCAGCTTTTCTTGGCTTCATTTTTCTGTTGTTTAGTTCTATTGTGAAATCTTATTTAGGACCAAATTGGATGGCCACCAAACTAGAGTGGGTTAATCTAAATTTTTTCACTAATAAGCATTGTAAAAATGAAAACCAATGGAAGAAAAAGAGCATTATAACTTGGATTAATATCTCCATCGCAATTTCGACCACCCATGTGACATTGATTCATCATGAGTGTGGTGATTTGGTTTAATGACTAGCATTGCCGGGTCACCAAAATCATATTATTTGCAATAAACTAGTTAGGTTCTGCATTTAGGCAGATCTATTCCTCATCTGTTGGCATGGTCTTCTGAATCCTCTCAATGAAGCCAAGCATCACCTCCGTGCCTTTCTCATCTGGGGATTGGGAAAAGGAATTAAAATTAGAACTAAGAAAAACTATTACTCTAACATGCTTGTCCATGTACTACCTAGTTTTGGAACTGTATGCCCCTTGGGATGATTGATCACAAAAGGATCCACAAAGGATTCCAGGAGACCAGTTGACTCCGGCTTCATGGAGTCCATTTCACCTGCAAACCCATGTTTTAGTCAGTATTGTGCATGGCCCGAAGAGTGCTTCTACCATAATATGTGTGAAACTTATCCAAGACCCTATCAGAACATTTATTTACATTTGCAGTGTTTTCATCAGCTATAAGTAGAGTGCAATTGAAAGCTTTGAATATGCACCAAGCCTTTGGAATGGCATTAAAATACCTATGATATGGAGAGAAGGGCATTCGAGAGGTGATGAAAATGCAGTAGAAGTCAGCTTATGGTGTCCAAGCTTTGATCCTCCAAACTTGGCTCCTGATATTATTATCAGAAACTTGATCTTTGGAACTTCAGTAAGGGCTACACCATCTCTCTGCATCCCAGGCAAGGCAGCTGATAAAATTGCTCCCTGAAATTCATCAGAAACCGTACTCAGATCCATTCATTCCACAAGAGTTGAATTTGCAAGAATTTGTTAAAGATAATTCATGCACACCCCACCTGGGAGAAGCCCATGAAACCATCAAATGGACCATTCTTTATCACATAGTCTTCAATAAACGCAAGACATTCTTCAAAATTTGTATACTCAGTGAAATCCTACATGGTAAAAGAAAAAAAAAAAGATTTGATTATAAGCTTGTTGGTCAAAAGAAAAACTGGACTTGAACTGTAATTTATGGGAAACTCTCCTACCTGGTTGGCTTGGAACCACTCATAATAAGGAGGATCAAAAATGCCTTCAACATCAGACTTCCCTTGGGCAGGATATGGGCCATTAAGGAAAACAAGATCTAGCTTTTCAAGCACGGTTGCAGGCCATCGAAGGACCAGTTTTTTTAGAATTTCAGCGCTTGTCCTGAATCCATGGAGGCACAGAATTCTGGGTTTTCTCTGTACTTGGCTTCCCATTTTTCAGAATCCCTGTTGTTAAAACTTTGAGGGCAGACTCGGATGGTTGGTGCAGCTCACTGTGGTTGATTATTCAAAGCCGAGTTGATCTATCTCCACTCTAACGGGGTTGGTGAGGTGGGATCTATAAGCTCAGGCAACCAATAAATAAGATTGCCAAACTTCTTTCAATGGTAGTGGTACTTGGGCAGGGGATTTTAAAGAGGCATTTGGGGTTCTCTAGGGAGGCAAAAACCATAGGAGAAAATTTACAATGAGACGAAACAGAGTAAAAAAATATTACAACTAAACCCAAGAACAAGAAGGGAATATGGTTAAATTATTTCTCACCTTAAAATCTTAAATTAAACCCATAACAGTCATAAAGCTGCCTTCTAATTGACAAAGTAAACTCTTTTTTTACAAAGGATTTGCATGAAGAAAAATAAGGATCAAAGAAAATGTCATGTTTGGTTGGGGGACTGGCTACGCAATTCCCCCTCTATTCCTTACAAAATTTTATCCCCTCATTTTGTTTGCTTTTGGAGAAGGAATAGCCATTCCAAAAGCAATGACTATTCCTCAAAATTTGACAAAAGCTTGGAATAGCTAATATCACCTTCCTCATGTAGTCATTCCACACCCATGTGAATAAAGTCTAAACATTTTGAATTAAAATGTCCTTATTTATTTCCAAAAATTACAAACTTAAACTTATAAAATTAATATTTTCATATTTAAATTATAAATAAAATATTAATATTTTAACATATTAATTTTTAAACTATTAAGGGAAAATATAAATTAAAAAATGAAAAATGCAAATAGAGAAAAATAAATCTTATTACAATAAAAAGTTAATTTATTAATTATATATTATAAAATATTTTGAATTTAAAAGTAATTAAAAGTATTAATATTTTAATCATAATAATATTTAAATTATAAACTAAATTACCAATTATTGATATTTTAAATCAATTATAAATTATTAATATTTAAAAAATAAAATAAAAATAAATAATCATAATAACATTTAAATTATAAATAAAATGGTTGTATTTTATATATTAATGATTAAATTTTAAATAAAATATTTATACTTAAATAATAAATTATTAATATTTTAAAAATATAAATTATTAATATTTAAAAGATAAAAATAAATAAACATAATAACATCTAAATTATAAATAAATTATTAATATTTTAAAAAAGTAATAATTAATTTACAAATAAGTATTAATATTTAAATGATAAATTATTAATATCATAAATAAAATAAAAAATTATTAATATTTAAAAATAAAATAAAATAAAAATAAATAATCATAAGAACATTTAAATTATAAATTAAGTATTATCATCTTTAATAATAATGATTAAAGTATAAATAAAATATTAATATTTAAACTATCAATTTTTAATATTTTAAATAAATTATAAATTATTAAAATTTAAAAATAAAATAAAATAAAAATAAATAATCATAATAACACTTAAATTATAAATTAAGTATTATTATTTTTAATATTAATGATTAAAGTATAAATAAATATTAATATTTAAACTATCAATGTTTAATATTTTAAATAAATTAAAAATTATTAATATTTAAAAATAAAATAATTTAAAAATAAATAATCATAATAACATTTAAATTCTAAATAAAATATTAGTATTTTAAAATATTAATAATTAGATTATAAATAAAATATTAATATTTTAAAAAATAAAATAAAATAACCATATGTATGATAAATTTTTTTTATTTTTGTATTTTTTATTTTTTTTATTTCAAAATTATTCTTATCAACCAAATACTATAATAAATAATAATTATTATTCTTATTTTATTTCATTCGTCATGAATCAAATGTTTTATAATAACAGTAAAAAACGAGTGTTAGGGTTTACGCCTATTAAAATATTTATGGAATGGAGAGAAGGTCACTGGAGAGGTGACGAAAATGCTGTAGCCTTCAGCTTATGATTTCAATACTTTGACCTTTCAAACTTGGCTCCCCGATATTATTATCAGAAATTTAATATTGTGGAACTTTGGCGAGGACTAGAGGTGAGTTGGTGTTGGCCCGATGGGTCTAGCAAAATGAAGGAAGCAGTTGCCTCTATTTGATTTGACCCAACAGAAAAAGCAACTGGGATTTGTTTTTATCTAGCAAAAGAAGGGTTACCAAGTTTCAAACATTTTGTCTCCCTTCTCAAATTGGATTTCAATGGACAATATTTCTCAATCTCAATGTTGAATTACCGCAGCCATGATGACCTTCACTTGAGAATACAATTATTGGTATGGTATTTTTCTTCACAAAATAAAGAGATTTTCTACAAATGATAGACCTTTTTTTGGCAAAAAGTTCCTTTTTTATTATAATTATAAACATCTTTTTGGCAAAACAATCATCCTTTGGCAACACTCTTGGTTGATGAAATAAAGGGAGGAGGAATGGAAGATGTGTAGAGTGCTCTGGCTAAGCTAGCTCAAAGGGTTGGGAAGCGTTGGACTTTGCTTCACGACCCTCCCCATTTATTGGATCAAATTTAATAAGCACCAATTTGAATTTATTTAGCTATTTGAACCAGCAAAAATTAACAAGACAATGCATCCCGTGCGCTTTAATTAAGATTACTTAACTCATTATTTTATTCAATAATTAATAATAAAAAAAAAGGAGTAATCAAAGATACGCCAACAACTCCACTTTGACCTGCCCATCCCCATCAATTCCCCTTTCCCTCTATCCTAGAAACCAAACTAGGCAAATCTGTTTCCACACACGGCTTTTTTGAAGGTGTTGTGACAAACCGTAGCCCATACTAGAAGGCCCAAAGTTGAGTCAGCTGGCCCAGTTTACAAAGTTTAGCCCAGGACACTCTCTTTCTTCATGGGCCGCCGACCAAGTATTAAACATTTAAACTTATTTGGGCTGCCGGTTAAAACGTAGACCGTTACTTATAAGTTAAGCAGCTGTGGAGCTTTTTGACGGAACTCTTCTGTTTCAGTCGAGAGCGATTCCCTCCGATGGCAAATCCTCACAGATCAAGGTACTCAAAATCTTATCTGAATCTCTAATTATTTCATTTCCCTTTCCATTATTTTACTTATTTTCAGATTTCTTTTTGGCCATTAACAGCCAGGGCCTTAGCGCTAGACCCGTGGCTAATTCCGATGAGATCCAATTGAGGATTGATCCACTTCATGCTGATTTAGACGAAGAAATTTCGGGTCTGCACAAACAAGTTACGCTGCTCAAACACGTAAGTTAATTTTTTTTTCCTTTCTTATGGAAATTGAGTTTGTGGGGATTTTCTCTTTTTTTTTCCTTTGTTATATTTGCTTCTTTAAGAATTTTTATGCAATATGAAATCTGGGGTTTTTTTTTTTTTGAATCAAGCGGTGTTTGCTTTTTTGTGATTATAAACTCTTTTAGGCTCTAGAAAATGGGATAGAGATGGAAATTTATTGAAAAAGAATATGGTTTTTGGGTAAAAGAGTGAAAAAGATACAATGTTGAATAATTGGTTTCGAATTATCTTTGCTAGATATTTCATTACTAATCTTTGAATTAAGAGTGCAAAATGGCTTTTAATATTTCTGACTAGCTTTAATTTTACATGCTTAATGCTGTTTGTACTTTGTTAATCTCTTTGCTTGCTGTGTTATACTGTAAACTGTGCATCTTCCTGCTGGTGCTTTTATATGGAATAATTAGTTGCCGCTTAGTGGCAAAAGGTGCTTAATGCAATTGTTTTTTTTTTTTTGGTTAAAAACATAATTGGGATTTATTTTGTCCTTTGTTTGACATATGAGCATTTGGGTGCACCCTAGATTCTCCAATACACTCGTCATTTAAGCAAAAGAAGAATTGTCAATGTGTTTGTCAAATGACTGAAATTGCAGTTGCCTCAGGTTTGCTCCTCCGTGTTTGCCATGGAGAGTGAACTTCTGAACGAAAATGCAGCTGGAACGAAACTCTAAATGCTATTTTTTTATTTTGGGTGAATGAATCAAATCGAAGGAAGAAAAACATTTGAAGAAATTACAGCCCATGGTATCCTTGACAATCAACCTATTCAACTCTTCAAGCATCACAAGGAGATAAAACTTCCTGTTTTTTTTCATGAAATCTGGGGCAAAATTCAGCGAAAGCATTAGTTTCCAGCACTCATCTTTAACAATGATAAGCTAAACTACGTACTAGCTTATTTATCTTGTGAAAGAGTTTTCATGTCTTCCATGGCTGCTGTCATTTTGTTGAAACATCTTAGCAGCATTCTTTGAATCTGTTCTAAAACTTCTACAGCTACTTGAACGTGGCATGGAATAAATTCACAGCTCTTATTACCACACAATCTTTGAGGTTCAGACATGCTTTTTCCACTTTTACTTCATTTAAACCCCTGTCTCTGCTCCCTTCTGCTTGACCTATCCCTATTGAGCATATATTCCTATCACTGCTAGATCAAAGATAATGAAGATGGTTCTGTGAACATTAATCTTTACCTTGTTGGTGCTTCATCGTTTATGAAGTTGCAAATATTTTATCCTTTTGTAATTAAAATGTCCTATCATCTCTCATTAAACAGCTTCTCTTCCTGTTTGATTGTCATCAGTGCTCTTAAGTTCATTGAAAAAAAACGGCAGCATTTTGTTTGATTTGGTGCTTTCACAAGAATGGAAATTTTGAATCTTGCTTCAAAATGTTGTTACCAAGAGGTAACAAGAAAAGGGCAGTCAAGAAAGTTGGATTTTTGACTATGTAGAAGCTCTGCAAATGCATGATATTGAAAACTTCTATTGTTATTCATTTTCACTGTGAATTTTTATACTTAACTTGCAAAACCACTGCTTGCGTTATGGCTTCTAATATTAGCTGCTTCTTTTATTAGTACTTACAGTTTTCTTGGTCAAATGAAACTATGTATATCTGATTATTTTCTTTTCCCTTCAGTTCTCTGTTTCCAAAGAGTTTTTTGTTTATGTACTTTGAAGTCTTACTCAAAGTGTTGATCCACAGGTTGCTCAAGAGATAGAAACTGAAGCACGAATTCAGAATGACATTGTCTCTGATTTGGTGAATACTAGCGTGACTTGCCCCTTATCTACTTTTCGCTTTTTAAAAAGAAAAAATGAAAAAAAAAAATTCAAGAACATTTTATGGTCCATGAAAATCTTAGTAAGCACTAGAAATTTGAGGTGTATTTGAGGCTTTTGGACTTTGGAGTCATGGTTTGCCACACAAAGTCCCTTTCCATAAAGTCAAGAACCAACCACTTCTAACAGGTCACTATTTTGTTTCTTGCTACAGCAAATGCTAATGAGCAGAGCTCAGGCAGGAGTTAAAAATGGCATGAAGAGGTTGAACAGAACAGTGGCTCAGCAGAGATCAAATCATATTTTGCAAGTGATAATCTTTGGTCTTGCATGTTTCACCATAGTCTACTTATGGTCAAAGCACTTCAAGAGATGAAAACTGGCTAACTATTGGCTGTTTACTGCCAAATAGTGACTCGAGGCTACCTCGTGATTGTGAATACATATCGAGGTATTTTGCCCCTACCTTGATGATTTGCCAATCGGAGCCTTCATTGTAGCTGTTACAGTAATGTAGTTCCCTGACAGCAAGAATTCTTCTTTAACTTTTTTTTGGGTATATGATCATTGAAGCTTGTCCACTAGATTTTCTCTAATTGCCTGCTTCTAATGTAAGATTGATAGAGTAGTGTGATCTCTTTTTATTAAAGTGTTCTCTCTTTATTTTAAAACACCGGTGTTAACCCCATAGTCCGACTACCCAATCCCCTTTCCTTTTTCTCCCTCCCCAAACTAAGAGGAGGCGTCATCATTGATGTGTCACTCCTTCCTCCGCCTTCATCAAAGGGAGAGATACTTGCTACGAGTCTGGTCTAGTGTATTTGCAGGACTATTACTGCGAAAACATTCATGGCATCATAAATGGTGCAGATTCTTCGCATTTGAAACTTATGCTTTCTGTACAAAAGTAGCCACCCTGAAAGGTTGGTCGTCTATGTATATGGACAAATGTGCTTAATCCCTGTAAGGATCCAGCAGCTGGGTGGGCCTTCCTCGATGAGTTTACTAATTAGGTGTTTAGGCTGTTCAAACAGAGCCCCGAATATGAAGTTGTTCACTGTTCCTAGACAAGCCAATAACAGAAAACACTAAAAACAATGTACAAGGGGGGCATATGAGGGCACAGCATAAGCGACAATGTCTCAAAAGTCAGGCAACGTATGTTTCTATCTGCCTGCTGACAGCTAAATCCTCATCTATAAAAGATTAGTGATTGATTTCAATGCCCCACCAACAAGAAGATCCAGGTTGGACTGTGGATGAAGCTAGGTCGAGAGATAGAACTGGTCTGTGCAGACTGGCGAGTTAGTTTAGCTAACCAAGAAAGCAGATTGCATTTGAAGCAAAGGGTTATTTTGACCAGTGAGGATGATTTTAATGCTTCTCGAGGCTTTGTTTAGCGTCAAAATAATTAAAAGACAAAAATCCTTTTTCTGTTTTTTGGCTGTTGGACCCATTCAGATTTACTTTGTAGCACTAGTACACCCAATGATTAATTCTTCTCCAGTTTCTGTGTTAGTAGACTGCTTCTCAGTTGATTGAATGGAACTAGGCCTGCAAAATTTTTAATGTGGGGAATCGTTTCACAAAGTGATGGATAATTTTCATGCTGATAGCAGAACAGGTCAACTCGTTGGCCTTGTCATCACTCATGCTGCATTCCTTAAACTTTTGAGCTAGCAGCTTTTATGGACTTTTTCACAAGCCCCTACTTCGTAGACCTTTTTTTCATTTGGAAAACAAGGGAAAATTAAAAGAAATAAATTTTACACAACTAAGATTCATTGTTTCTGTCAAAGAAAATAGATTTAAATACTAAAACCATATATGAATTAATTTATTTTATGCAGAAACATTTTTTTATTAAATTAAAAAAAGCTTTATCTTTTAATTTACATTTACACAAATTTTTAATCTAATAAAAAAATTACTAATAATCGACTCTAATATCAACTGAAATTTTTTTGTAAAGGTAATTTAATGATATGATCATTTGACAACTAATGTGGTCACATTATACACGACATCATCTAGTGTATCAATTTTTATATAATTATATTAATTGTCACGCGATCACGTTATATGTAGATAAAAAAATATATTCAATTTTATGATGGTTAATTTTTGTTAAAATTAATAGTATGTGTAGATATAAATTTTAAAATTCCTTTGAATACAATAAAAGAATTTTTTTTCTTTTACATAAAGTATAATGGTTTAGAAGTTTTTTCACTATCTAAACCAAAAATATATATTTATCTTTTTGAGGGACATTGATTAGAATTTAAAACTTCATTCTATAAATTTTTAATTCTAATTTTGAGGTAAATTAAATAGAATTTATGAAATGAAAAAAAAAAAGTATGAATTTTGAGTTTCTATAAATTTTTTCCGGTACATGTAAGAAATTTAAAAGGGCAGGTGAGATGGGAAGAAAAGTTTTAAATCTTAACCCGGACTATCTTTTGGTGGTTCACCCATCCTCTCCAGGTGTGGCTAACAACTCACGGTTAGGGTTCTAGCCTCACCAACGCTACCCATTCTAAGCAACCATTGACTCTATTTTTTTTTTTCAAAAAGAAAAACATAACAAATGAAAAATCCGAGATGCTAGTAGCAATTTTGTCTTGTGTGAATCATCAATCAACATGGAAACTTTCAAGTTACATAGAATCCAAAATTTTGAAAGTTCCAGCCATGACCCAGCCAACCTGGCGTGGCCTTGAAGAACGGTCCTGCAACTCCCTGGAAGCAGGGTCGAAGGTTAGTTAAAGAAAGAAAGAGAGCGAAAGAAATCCGGGAGAAGTCATGAAAAAGTATAGGAGATTATTAAAAGGTTACTTTGGTCGTCCACTTGGTATGCAAACATGTGCAGGTCAGTGAACCACCTTCTTTTTACAGAAATCGAGGTCATATGACTCCTACTCTTTGAGTTAAAAGTTAATCCTTAGTTGAAACAGAAACTGAATTCCGAGTTTGCGACAGCAGATGTTCAAAGCAGAGCTAAAATTCAAAGTTAAAAACCGACCAAGTCAAAACACGTGTGGTAGATGAAACAAATTTGATATCTTCTATAATTGCAACTCTGGTTTTAACTGTCTTACAAATTTTCTTCTTCTTTGTTTTTTCCAAGTCAAGATTGAGAAATTCAAACCCATTATGTGAGTAAAAAGTTAAGAGGGATATATGCCTTAATTAGTTCAGTTGAAACATTTCTCTTCTACATAGAATATATGAGAAAAAAAATACTCAATATTAATTTTTTAAACAAAAAATACGTGCATTTATTATTTGATTTAACACTGAAATGCTTGCAATGATTTTAACCTTCCAAATTAGTACTATTTATTGTTGACACGTACTTTGATCGGTAATTACAGTTTGATAACAGAAAAAAAAGGCATCGAATTTAAATATTTTGTCCAAAATTAATGATTGGTGAAAATTTTTCAAATGGGGAATAATTTCTCGAATAACACCGCATTCTAAGCAGCTTAACAAGCATGAATATAAAAAAATTTAGTAATATCCCACTACCCAGCAAATGCCAGGGTTCTCAGGTCTCACCCCATTTTGTCTGATTATTGCCAGCTCTTGCCAGCTCCTGTTCATCATGTCTTGCGCAATTTACATTTTTGACAAACAAAGATTGACTAAACCAAACCATAAACTACCTTCATTTCCCGTCACAATTCCAGCGAGGAATTGAGGTTTATCCTAAACTCCCTGCAACTCCTTTCTAAGCTCACCACGTGTCTCTCGCCAACCAGAAAAACATTTGCCGTCCAAGCAAAGGAAGTAAGTCGGTTTCTTCAAACACCAGACCTCAATTTTATCAAATCCCACTAAAGTCTTGTCTTGTCTTTGTAGCACGACAAAGGAGAGATGCACATTCTGGCACACAAATTGGAGCATGATAGTTGTTTCCCATTTGCAACGGTTACTTAATTTTAATTTTATATTTTTAATTCTTCGTTTCTTTCTCTCTCCCCAATTATCTCCACAAAAAGGCTATATCCCCAGCTAATCCCATCTAAACAATTATATCTCAATTCTCCAAATCATTAATCATCTAAGATGTAAACATAAGAGTCACCATCAATCATACCCACAGTGATTTTGACACCTGTACCGAAACCGAAGGATAGACTTAGTCATTAATCATTTGGGGACAATTTATCACAATTTAAAAGTATAGTTTTGTTAAGGCATAAATAAAAAGTTTAATATCTCTTATTGAAATTGTCATGCTATCATTTTTTTGATATAAATATATATGCACTTTCTATCTCAAAAATCCGTATGAGTACTCGCCACGTGTTCAAAGTGATCATTTGAATGTAGACTTGTGTGTAAACAAGCATACCGAAGAAATATTCCAAGGGGGGTATTAAAGTAATATCACCGACCATTTTAGAGAAAGTTGTTGAAAAGTTTAACGCGGAGGACAGTCTGTGAAGGGGAGGTGACCAATTTTTTTTATTTCCTAACAATTGGGCAAAATCGTAATTATGGATTGGATAGGGACATTTTACTGACCTTAAGCCACCGACACATGCCCAACCTTAGTGGCATTACAGTAAATCAACAAGCTAAAACAGGTCAAAATTTCACCTCATAGTCCAAAATTTACATGGTTATTAAGTTACATAAAAGGCCCCCAACGTGGACAGGTGTCAAAATCTAAGCCCTTATTGGTTAGGTATTGTATTTGTGCCTGAACCTTGAAGAAACTTCAAAGAAAAAGAAAGAAAATGAAGCATCCAAGACATTGCTTAGCTAGCCCATCATGTTATATGTGCTTGCATGTATATGTATATAACTATGTTTCACTTTGCATAATTTTGTGTAAACAATTAAAAAGAATCTATTTGCATTATTGATTGATTAATTCCCCACCTTTTTCTCCCCTGTCCTCTCCCACTTTCTCCATCCCTTTTTATATTCCCTTCTCTCTTTTCAGCTCCCTCACTCCCAAACTCTCTCAAACTCAAGAACCCCAAGAAAAGAAAAAAGGCTCTTCCTTCTCTTTTGTCAAAATTTGAGTTTTTCTCTCCTTAGTTCCTCTGTCTTTGCCAAGATGAGTTCTACGATGTTTAAGGTTTTGATGATCTTAGGTCTTTTGGCCACCTCTTGCATGGCTCAAGCACCAGGTGCTGCACCAACATCCCCACCGACATCTTCACCAACGCCAGCTGCAACGCCAGCAGCCCCAACACCTTCCCCATCGGCAACACCGACCCCATCTCCAACTCCTTCCCCAACCCGCAACCCAACCCCAACCCTTCTCCAGCTCCTTCAAGAGCTCCAACCCCATCTCCCACCACTTCCCCATCTCCTTCTCCAAGCACTTCTCCACCTTCTCCTTCACCAGTCTCTTCCCCTCCTGCTCCTACACCATCAGGTGGTCTGCCACAGCCTCCGAGCCTTCAGCTGAAGTAGTCCCTCCTCCCTCTGCCGCCTCCACCAACGCTGTTTTCATTGGTGCGACCGCCCTTGCCGCTACTTTCTTGGCGGCCTTTTTGGCTTAAGAAAGTGAGTCGCTGCCTTTTAGGCTGTACGCGGGCTTTTGGATCATGATTCTTGAGGATATTGTTTTGTTGCTATCTTTGTTATTTTGAGTAGTGTTTCTTTCCTTTTTTTGTTTATTGTTTTAAATTTATTTGTTATGTATGGGTTGTTGATGATTCTATTATTTTGGGTTTGGACGGTTGATTATATTGGTGGATGTGACACGTGTATCGTTTGATGAGATCGGACGGTTGTAGAGATTGGGCTGGTGTACATGGAATAAAAACAGTTTGTTATTCTTTTTACGGAATCCAATTTGTCATGTTTCTATATGTTGATTTATTTCTTCCTTTTCTTCCCAACATAATTTTGCAAGTGATAATGTTGACGGGGTCAGTGATTTTCAAGAATTGAATCTAAATCAGACACTTGGGGTGAAAAGAGAAGATGACTCTGTTCACGTGTACGATAGCTATTGGAGGCATCCCTAAAGCAGAAGAAGATCATTTTTAAACCAAAATCTGTTTGTCCTTTTCTCGAAAGCAAAGTTTGACATTTTAGTGCTAATAGGGAAACATAGCTCAATGTTAAGGTAAAAGCTGTGTTGATTTCACAGGAGAATGGGATTTTTCTTCGTAGGAAAGGGAATGTCTTTTTCAAAAATTACAGGCATTGAATTTGACTGTAATTGAGATGAAAACAAATGATGGAAGAGTGATTTTCGTTTTTAATGTTTTTTTTGGCCATGTGAATATGTGATGGCCATGGCCTTTGTTTTAATCTTTCAGTGTAGACTTCAATGCAAAAAAATTGGGAAAAGACACGTCCACCGCCAAGTAACAACGACACAGAAGCTGTAAAGCTATGCTGCAATTGCCTTATTGGTATTTTAATTTTTTAAGAGTAAGAGATTGCATGGGCTACCAGGGACTGGGTAACAACCTGGTGTTGCGACCATTTTCGCAAGGAAGGCAGTGTTTACATTTAATGTTATGGATAAAATTAATATGGCTTTTCATCAACACTAAAAAAGGAATATTAGTATGGCTTTCAGCAGAGCTAAAAAGAATAATTAGTTAAAAATTTTCCGAGGCACTAAGACTTGGACATGCCAGGCCTTTTTCTAATTCCTTTCCAACGTAAGTTCTTTGAACTTGTAGCTGCCAATAAAGTGAGGACTGATGACTGGGCAATGAAGTGATGTTTTGTCTCTGTTTATCTACTTTGCATTTTTTTTTTATAATATTTGATTTATTCTTCCGAATTCCCATTGGACTTTGATCTTTCCTTTTTCTCCATACTTCCTATGGATTAAGGAAAACTCAATGATTAAATCATAAAATGGAAGGGAAACTTTCAACTTAGGTATATCTCTTCAACAAGTTTGTATTGGTTCAAATCCAATCAAACCCCAAACTTTCCTCTCAGAATGATGACACGCGCATCGCATACAAAAGAGAGAGAAAAAAAAGAAAAAAAACTCAAAAGGAAAACCCAAACAGCTTTAAATACTCCTCTCCTAGGGTGGACTTGGACAATTCAAAGTTCGAGCCCCATCCTAGCAAATAAGCAAGGCAAAAACATAGGAGCTACGAGCAAGTAGTAATCTATTTTTGATAGATCTTAGGCCTTAACTTATGGAGTTGTCATATTTGGGATTTTTTTTGGAAAAAAGAATGGTTTGGTCGGTGTCTTTTCTCTTAGTCAACCGGCTTCTAGGGCAGATTCGTACCCTTTTAGTACGTGGAGGTTTTCGATCATTGGTGTTGAAGGTCCACTAGTTTTTCCTCAATGCAAGGCCCACACAGGTCGGCTTGCATGTTGGGTCTTTTGTTCTCCGGCCTAAAAACGCACCCCTACCACTCTTCCACAGCTACAATTACGAAAGCCCAGCTTAAAGTTTATATTACACTATTTATCTAGTTTCACTGAATCGTTTTAAATTTAAGTCTTAAAAGAGTAAGAAATAGTTAGATTCTTACACTATATACTTGTCGATAAGAAAGGAGGCAATAACCTAATGGGGCTCAAGTCCAAGCCTTTTTGTTTATTTGGTACAAAGGGAGTAAGATAACCCCACCATTTAACTAATTTAGACATGTAAATACTCATTATATTAAGAAAACTCTAAATATTGGGGGATGGAACTGAAAATTCGTGCAAACCTAATTTGAGATGTTCAAATTAGGAAGTCATTCTATTCACACACAAAATTTGCTTTACAATAGACATGACAAACATGGAACTACCAATTTCTTTACATTATTTTAATAACAAAACAATTGGCATCAAAATGAATATTAACATGACAAAAATTTAGTTATTAATCATCTATGAGGCTCATAAACGATAGAAAAATTTATGCACCTTCAATATAGGAACTTCTGAATTAGATTTCTTGATGGCAAACTACAAGCCAGGACCGCAGTTTAATTGTCCACCATTATAAATTAACCCATAATCCAGTGGTCAAGCTGTCCAGCCAATTCACACCTTAAGCAAAACCTCGCCACCCCCATCACCTGTACAATTTCTCATCACTCTTCTCGCTAATGAAATACCAGGATTCCTTTTACAACTATCATCAGCGTTAATCTTTCATGCAGCCATTAGGTGGGGAATTAGCTACACCTGATAAGAATCTCACGACTAGGATGAAGAATCTCACGTTGAAGACCGCACCATGCTTCATATTGGTTGGTGATGAATAGACGAGATCCAGTTAAATGCCAAGACAAAGAAATCATCAAACAAGATGCAATTTCCCCGATGCCAAATTATCCAGTAAGCCTTATAGTTTGGAGATATTCCTTTTGATCTTATTGTAAATAGTCCTAATATCAAGTTATTTTTCATTTTTCGAAACATTTCATCGAATTAATAACTTTAACTCTGATATAGACATCTCGTATCTCTGGTTGTAAATTATAATAAAAGAACAGTTGTTGTTTTTCTTCGTGCTGCCAAGTGCCATACTTGTCTATTTTTGCATTTGAAGCAAATCTGGAATTGTAGTTGGTGGGTGTGGGTGCAGTTACATAAATGAAGCATGCTCTGTTTTCAGGTGTTAGTAAGGAATCCATTATTATATGGCTGACGCAGTATGGGAATGAGTGCATCCCAACAAAAGAGAAACAAAAAAACCAATGCCAGATTGAGAAATATGGGCCTTCCTCTTTCTGCACTGTTAATTCCTTTTGACAGTCACAGGTTCTAGTCAACCCCACGAGGTAAAAACCTTGAAGCTTTAAAGGCAATAGTGAATTCTGTTTTCTGAGGTCATATTTCTAAGTTCATGTTTCCTACAAAGAGATAGAAATCAGATTCCTCTACTTAACGTTAAGCAAATAGAAAAGCGCGAGGCTCTGATTCATGGATTGGTAAGATTTCATGATTGTAAATTTGCAAGTTTGAGGTACTGGGTTTAAGCATCGAAAAGAAATGAATTGCCTTGTTATCCATAGATTAATTTTCAACAGAAAATTCTCTGCCCTCATCATAAGAACATAACTTTCAATATTTCTTTTAATTCTTTATCAGGACAGGCCAATGCAAATTAACTTCACCAAAATGCTTAAATCTTTTCTTAAAAAAGGAAAAAAACAGAACTTTCGGGACCTAAAAATGCCATTCTTCTTTAATACTTTAACTATTGGCTCTTTCTCGACAAATTTATGGCATGGTGTGTAATTGACATGCTGACAAAAATATGATGCGGTGAGCAATGACATACATGCAAGTTTACGTGTGATAAAGATTTTTTTAATTATTAATTTCTAATACTTTTTATTCTCATACTGTAGTGAGAAAGGTCAGCCCCATACGCCCAACTTGGGTCCGCAATCCGCATGCTTCCAGGAAGAACACATTAATAACTAGACTACCCATTAATTAATTTCAAATAAAATTGAAATTCCTGATCAGTCAAAGACAACCCGCGGCTTGACACTCTTTTCTCAAAATTTGTGTAAAAGCTCCACAGCTCAAGCTGCTATATATAAGCGTCATGGAGGCCAGAGAGTGAGCGTTTATTCATCTTTCCTTAATTTTGAAGTTCATTGAACTCCCAAGAAAAAGGATAGAATCGATAGGCCACTAGCAGATATCAGATATGTCGAGTAACGGTGCATTGGAGGAAGCTAAGGTTCCTTTGATAGAAGATTTAGCTTCAGCGGAGCGATTGAAAGCTGAACAAGATGATCAAAATCAATCCCTAACGAAAAGGGTATGGATAGAATCAAGGAAGCTATGGCAGATAGTTGGCCCTGCAATCTTTAGCCGCCTCGCCTCATACTCCATGCTGGTAATCACTCAAGCCTTTGCAGGCCACCTTGGTGATCTTGAGCTTGCTGCCATTTCCATTGCAAATAATGTCGTCGTCGATTTCGACTTTGGCCTCTTGGTATAAATCTTTACCCTCATCTAGACAAAAAGCTGATTATTTGGTTCTTAAACCAAACAAAAAAAAATGAAAATTGTTTTCTAATGTGCTTTTTTCGGCTTTTATTTTATTAGTTGGGGATGGCAAGTGCACTAGAAACACTATGTGGGCAAGCCTTTGGAGCCAAGAAGTACCACATGTTGGGAGTATACATGCAACGTTCATGGATTGTTCTTTTCCTGTGCTGTGTTTTGCTTTTGCCTTTATATCTATTTGCTTCTCCATTCTTGAAGCTGTTGGGCCAGCCTAAAGATGTTGCAGAGCTATCTGGGATTGTTTCTATGTGGATGATACCACTTCACTTCAGCTTTGCTTTCCAATTTCCTCTGCAAAGATTCTTGCAGAGTCAGCTGAAAAACATGGTGATTGCATGGATTTCCCTGGTGGCTCTCTTGGTCCATGTGTTTGTAAGTTGGCTGTTCGTTTATAAGTTGCAGCTTGGGGTGGTTGGAACTGCAATCACCTTGAACTTTTCTTGGTGGGTTTTGGTTTTTGGGCACTTTGCCTATACTGTTTGTGGTGGATGCCCTCTTACTTGGACTGGCTTCTCCATGGAAGCATTTTCTGGCCTTTGGGAATTCATCAAACTGTCTGCTGCTTCTGGGGTCATGCTCTGGTACCTACCTCTGCATCTCTCCCTTTATGACAAGTAGTCAATTTAATTTAAAATTTCCCTTTGAATCATTCTGATTGTTTTCTTCCCTTCTTGTGAATGTAATCACGATACCCTTTTATATTTTAAAATCGACAGCTTGGAGAACTGGTACTATAGAATATTAATCTTGATGACTGGGAATCTGAAAAACGCAAAGATTGCCGTGGATGCTTTGTCAATATGGTATGCAAATTGTTGTACATATATAATTATTTTGAC